TATTACCCTTCAACAACAACCCTACCACCTTAATACCCCAACCATAAACCAAATCTCCTCCACAATAAATTCATCCAACCCCCCTACCCCTACACCCTCTTCAAATTATACTGAATCATTAGCACCATCATCCACATCAACTGAATCTTCACTCAACACTAATAGAGCTTACCGCACTTTTAAAAGAAAGTTCCCCAATCATCCTTTCCCAGCAAAACCAGGAACAGCCCGTGAATACATCAACCACCCCAAGCATACTAACACAAAAGAATTTTTAGCCATCACCTTACCCTCATTCCCACAATACACCTTAAACACCCCCCACGACACTAACGAAACACGCAACTTTGTAGATGAATACGTTTTAATGCCCACTCTCTCTTGGACCTCATATTATCATTTTACTAACCCTCTTTGCTTACCTTTATCTAACACTCACATCGATATAGAGCGAAATACGGACATGCTATATCGACTCACTACACCACTAACCGCTAGACAATTTACTTACGTTGGATATAAAAAATCACTAAAAACACACACTGCACCTAGAGCTAACGAATATACACTCGAATACTATGATCACAACATCATCAGAGCTAACCAAGATCAATTCTTAGACGACGATCGCTTCGCTAATCCACAAATTACTGAGAAATTTTTCATCAAGACACCATATATATTTACACTAAACATCTTCGACCGAAAGTTTGATCACATTATTTCAGAAGCACTAATAGACACACAAGCATACGAAAGTTTCAAAGAACGCTTCCAAATATTTTCACTAACCTTTCATTTCCTTGCACCACACGAAAGAGATTTACACTGCTCACACGATATTATGTTGCGCACTAAACAAACCCACACATATAGTTATTATCGCTTCATCCAAAATCACTTTGACCTACACACACCCTCTAGACAACCACACCATCGTTTTCAATTCATTAATTCCAAATACACTTCACCATTTTTCCTAAATTTCACATATTGCATTAAAGATACTAACCTTCATGGTATTCTTCGTAATTATGACCCCATAACCCAAATGTACATCTTCTGTCCCATCACCAAGACCTTCAACGCCGAAGAATCCCGACCCTTCCTTATCCCGCACGAGTTTGTACAACCCATAGAAATCCCAATTTTAGAATTCATCCACAACACTAAATTCAATCACAAATTATATAATCTAATCCAAAACACACCTTATGAGTTTGCGGTTGGCACTGAAGAACTAACCACTATTAAGGCACTTCAATTGCTTTGGCCACTGCTTCAGACTAAAAATATCATCCGCATCTTAGCTAAACTACTAACAACTTCAGAACTAATTCACGACATCTTCCCCCACGGTTTTTTCCCCGACGACTAACAGGTAAGTATGAATTAAATGAATATAACTAACTAATTGAAATATTAAAAACTCACCATTCTTTATCCATGTTTTCTTTAGATTTTTAGCCTTCATCCGACAATCACCTACAAAAACCACAAAAGACAAATAAAAATCGCAAATTTCATCAAACAGATTTCAAAAATTCTATAAATTTATAAATTTAATACCAATGCAATAAATTCATTTCTAAAATTTTCCCCACAAGCAGTAAATCTAATTATGATGAAAATTTGTAACTTAAAATTCCCCCATAACTAGCAGTAAATTTCCAAATTCCATGCAGTAAATTAATAAAATGCAAATGCAGTACTAACCTTTTGATATTCTCATTTATTCGCACAGAAATTCTATCCACACTCGCACAGCTCGCCCACGAAGAATTGTTTAAAATAATGAATTTCAGTTTCAAGTTTTCACACTCAACAACTCTAACATATAATAACATGTTTCAAACTTTCCTTTAACCCGGTTGGAAAGGAATCATATACTAAACAAAACTAACCAACGCAGCTTACTAAATACCACAAATCATAGAATAACAGCATGACTAAGAAAAGGAAACCAACGGTACCCAAACCGGATTAACCCAGTTTAAAACTGGATAATTTATTCTTTTGAAGACTATTATAAAGTCTAAGAAAGAAATAATAAAACACAAAAAAGTCGAAAGACAAACCCATACCACGAACAATTTGCTTTTTGGAAAAAGGACATAACCAACAAGACATAAGAAAAACCACAACAAACCCAACATAAAACGTTGTCACATAACAGGACCCCTCACAAAAACCGCATGAAATCATACTCCCACTCCTGGCCTAACCCACCAGGAAGGACGTCCTGAGCATGCTCTATAGCCGGCCTAACCCACCGCGCTACATCCACGCTTTGTGACCACACCTCTATTTTTAATAAGAGCTACTCAAGTGTGAGTAACTCTTCAAAATAACCGAACTAAAACAAAAAGCTTTTGTGAAAACAACTAACTAAAATCATAATTAAAAAATATTAAACTAATAAATGTTTTATAAAATGTAAATTACATTATGCAATACATAGATCAGAATACAACACCAAGGACGAACATCTAAAGACAAAACGACCCCACTACACTCGAGAGGGAATGACCAACCACAATCGATATGCCACTCACAATCACAACTCAAAGGATTTAGAGTACGACTTGACTTCGCAGAAAAGGACTTCATTGAACTAGACCAATGACCACCTCGATGTTCAAGTATACGTACAGATCCGAGTAACCAGGCATCCCCTCCACGCACAATCTCCACGCCATTCCCAAACTAGATCAGACACAAAAGAAGTTCTCCACGCAGAACAGAAAAACCTGACATAGCAAACCATTCTGAAATCAGATTTGAGTTTGTTGCAAAGACTTAGTCGTTGTCACTAGAAGACACAACGTCTTATGTCTCTAACTCCAGCTTCCTGGAACTTCTTTAACAAAAAGAAAACAGAAGAAATAAGATGTTCGCCAAACACCAACGTCCATCATCCATCCTTCGAATTGCAGAAGAACTATTCTAAAAAACTCTGTAAAACCCGGATGGGTGGAACCTGATCTAAACTACATTTTATGATTGGATAAATTAGATATTTTACCAATGTAAAGTATTTAATATTAACCAATCATGATCCATCTAACTAACAACCCACTTATTTGTAAGTGCTGAAGTTACTTGTAATTTCAGCACCAGAGAGATTTGAATTTAACTTAGAAATTAGTTGGACTCTCCCGAGCACTTCAACAGCCGCAATAGACCAGTATACCCTAGATCTATTGAGCCTAGCAGAGACTAGTTAAACAACCTGAGACTAGATAGTATAAGAGTAAGATTAGGATCGGTATTAGACTAAGAAGTTGCACGAATCTATCCGGCCGAAAATAAGATAGCGTGACGAGCAGACGGTGTACCCTATCCGAAATTACTCTATGAGTTAACCAACTCGGTCATAACTCAGTTCTCGGTTATTGATGGCTGTTTGGCATGGAGTTTATTCAGCCTAAACTGAAAAAGTGTTTGCTCCGAAATTTGGAATTCAATTTTCATTTTGCTAATCCTATCCTACTATTTTTGATGAATGTACATTGCAAAAAAAAGGGCATTCATTCAGACATTTAAAAAAAAACAGAAAGTTCAGATACAGCTTCCAGGAAATTCAGATACAGCAACAGAACAGGACGTTTAGCGAGAACTTGCGAGAAATACAGCATACATGAATATCAGATACAGCAACAGGACAAAAGATTTAGAGAGAACTTACGAGAACACCGAAATATTTGAAAAATACCAAAAGGGCATTCAAGTTTGTATCGAAACTATCAATCAAAAATTACCAACCAAAGTGAGCACCATTTATTCCCCTTTTTATACTATTCCGAACTCCCTCATTTTCTCTCTTCTCTATTTTCGATAAAAATGAGCGATCTAGTGGATAGATTTATGAGTCGACTCGACTGAAGATAGGAAGCCAACAATATTCTGACCGACTCCAACAAAAATAATTGTTTCGACAGACTCGACCCAAACTATTTATGTTTCGGTCGACTCGACTGAAGATAGAATGTGTACGACTCTTCGACCCAAACTATTTATAATTCGGTCGACTCGACTGAAGATTGAATGTTTCCGCCTAAGTTCGACTCAAGTGGGCTATGCTTGGACTGATGTGACTCAAAGTGTACTTTTTTTCGACTGATTCGACTCAAAATGGCTTTGTTTCGACTGACTTGACCAAAGAAAAAACTTTTCGACTGTGTTTGACAAAAGCGTTATAAGATTCTACCGACCCGATTTGGCACCGTTTTCATCAAATAAATTTCCAGAGTTTTAATGACGCGATAAGCAAGGGTATTGCAATCGCGTACTAGATTTTTACTGTTCACAGGACTCTTCATCTCCTAGTGATACCTTGGTTTATATTGAACTCAGATTTCTTACTGTCTGTTGCATATGTCACACAGGAAAGCTGATATAGATCTCAAGGGAATCGACAGCGAGGAGTTCGACTCGGGCAAGAAAAAAAACCGAGGCGAAAGCCGGGAACTAAATTAGTGCTTCTTTGTCCAGACGGGAACCCATGCCCAGAAATGAAAAAAAGGCTTCGATCATGGCGTTGAAGACTTGAGTTTTTGCATTTTACTCTGAACAATTATTTTTTTAAATATTAAGTTCTGTTTTATAATATTATATTACATAATTAACTTAAATTTAAAATAAATAGTTAATTGAAATTATTTTCTTTGAAGAGTTTGATGTACAATTTAACTTTAGTTTGATGTGCAGAAAAGTTTATTTTGACCATAAAGTTTTATGCAGCATATCTTTTCATGAAGGACTGGCTTAGAAATGATTTACATCAATTTTTGAGAAGAAATATTCACTCAGAGATTTACGTGAAGTGAATTTATCAATCAAAAAGTAACAAAAAAAATAAAATTGCTGAGATTTATTTTTTTGGTTTTTTCTTAAAGAAAAACTTTTTTCTGCGAATTTTCTTTAGAAATTTTTGGTCATAGTTAATGCTTTTAGATGCAATAATTGAATTAATTTTAAATAAAAATTTGTTGTTCTAGATCCGGAAGAAGGCCTCTTTGTTCGGGCACTGTTCGATTTCGAAGCTAGGGAGACAGGCGAGTTGTCTTTGTCAAAGGGCGATGTCATATTAGTCACAAACAATACGGATCAATGGTGGTCTGGACTTTGCGTCAAAACGGGAGAAACTGGCTCTTTTCCGGCTAACTATGTTGAAGAGACGGCAGCAGAATAAATTCGCCATTTGCAACAAAAGAAAAATGATTTTTGATAACCGAAATTTGAAATATTCTGGATCTAACGTTAAATCAGCGGAACTAACCATTTATTTTTTAAGTCCATATGTAGAAACCGTTTCATTAGTAATCTCCAGTAAATTCACAAATATATAGTTTCCAAAATCGCTTTAGCCCATTTAAAATTGTTTTCAATAGGCAGTTTTTTTCGGTTGTCATTCAAATTTTTAGATTGAATTCAACGTTAAATGATTTAGCGGAAAGCTTAAAGTAATATTTAAACACAGGAAAATGCATTAAAAACCCAAATGCTAATTCTTGTATAAAGCTTACAACACAGGAATCTGTAAGGGAAAAGAGCGTCCTACTAAACCCCCCCCCCTCCGCCCCTCCATTAAATCGGCCCCTGAAAAAAAAGGCCAGATTTCCACAAGTTCCAAGAAAATGTTTGTCAAGGTCGTTTGCTTCAAAAATGTGTCTTCGGCCAGGTTTTTAGATGGCTTTGTTAGTTTATTTGGGACTTTTGTCTGCCTCTATATTTTTGCGTTGAATTGATTTTTGAGTTGATGAAATGTTATTCGAAAAATTGCATTACGTTTCCGTGACAAAAGTGATAGGGTTTCGACAAAACGAAAATTGATAAGGATGGATTCATGCGTTTCTTTTTAAAAATTCACTAAAGAAAAACATAAAACAGACAATTTGTTTAGCTGAAAACAAAACAAAATGGAACGAAAACTGAAGACAAAAAAAAACATAAAAAGGAAACAAGACTGCTCGTATCAGGGCAATGTCCCGAATGCTCTGACTGCCTTTAAAGGCATATGGAGCAGTAATAACATAAAAAAACTAAACGTCATAAAATGAAACGATTTTTTTGAAAGATTGAGGTTTTGTTTTTGTGAAAATCATCCCCCACACTTACCATATAAAACACAAAGTGTTAGATTCCGCTTCTATAAACAAATTAATTATGGCGAATAAGCTTCCTTCAACCAATTTGGAACTTTTTCTAAGTTAGACGGAATCTCCGCTAACGCGTTAATAGCGCAAAATATATCGCGCGTTTCCCAATTGGGCCAAAATAGAGATCTTTAAACCCCACTAACTTTATAAAAAAAATTATCACAGGTGAAATATATATATTTTTCAAATTTAAGCTCAGAACCACAATACCTTTGGAATGATATAAAAAATAACGTCAAAATGGCTAGTAAAAAATTTAAGTTTGTCTGAAGAAAAAAACTACCCGAACACAAATATTCCGTTACTTTCGTTACGAAAGTCGGAACATTAACAGATAAATATTCAAAAATCCAAAAGTTATAGACCGGGATTTCAAACAAAGATTACCGCAAGTTTTAATGGCTTAAATGAACTATCTGCGGCACAGGCATTTTTTTTCTCACTGGTTAATGTGCCTAGATTTGTTTCGACTGACTTGACCAAAGAAAAACAATTTTCGACTGTGTTTGACAAAAGCGTTATAAGATTTTACCGACCCGATTTGGCACCGTTTTCATCAAATAAATTTCCAGAGTTTTAATGACGCGATAAGCAAGGGTATTGCAATCGCGTACTAGATTTTTACTGTTCACAGGACTCTTCAACTCCTAGTGATACCTTGGTTTATATTGAACTCAGATTTCTTACTGTCTGTTGCATATGTCACACAGGAAAGCTGATATAGATCTCAAGGGAATCGACAGCGAGGAGTTCGACTCGGGCAAGAAAAAAACCGAGGCGAAAGCCGGGAACAAATTAGTGCTTCTTTGTCCAGACGGGAACCCATGCCCAGAAATGAAAAAAAAGGCTTCGATCATGGCGTTGAAGACTTGAGTTTTTGCATTTTACTCTGAACAATTATTTTTTTAAATATTAAGTTCTGTTTTATAATATTATATTACATAATTAACTTAAATTTAAAATAAATAGTTAATTGAAACTATTTTCTTTGAAGAGTTTGATGTACAATTTACCTTTAGTTTGATGTGCAGAAAAGTTTATTTTGACCATAAAGTTTTATGCAGCATATTTTTTCATGAAGGACTGGCTTAGAAATGATTTACATCAATTTTTGAGAAGAAATATTCACTCAGAGGTTTACGTGAAGTGAATTTATCAATCAAAAAGTAACAAAAAAAATAAAATTGCTGAGACTTATTTTTTTGGTTTTTTCTTGTAGAAAAACTTTTTTCTGCGAATTTTCTTTAGAAGTTTTTGGTCATAGTTAATGCTTTTAGATGCAATAATTGAATTAATTTTAAATAAAAATTTGTTGTTCTAGATCCGGAAGAAGGCCTCTTTGTTCGGGCACTGTTCGATTTCGAAGCTAGGGAGACAGGCGAGTTGTCTTTGTCAAAGGGCGATGTCATATTAGTCACAAACAATACGGATCAATGGTGGTCTGGACTTTGCGTCAAAACGGGAGAAACTGGCTCTTTTCCGGCTAACTATGTTGAAGAGACGGCAGCAGAATAAATTCGCCATTTGCAACAAAAGAAAAATGAACTTTGATAACCGAAATTTGAAATATTCTGGATCTAACGTTAAATCAGCGGAACTAACCATTTATTTTTTAAGTCCATAAGTAGAAACCGTTTCATTAGTAATCTCCAGTAAATTCACAAATATATAGTTTCCAAAATCGCTTTAGCCCATTTAAAATTGTTTTCAATAGACAGTTTTTTTCGGTTGTCATTCAAATTTTTAGATTGAATTCAACGTTAAATGATTTAGCGGAAAGCTTAAAGTAATATTTAAACACAGGAAAATGCATTAAAAACCCAAATGCTAATTCTTGTATAAAGCTTACAACACAGGAATCTGTAAGGGAAAAGAGCGTCCTACTAAACCCCCCCCCCCTCCGCCCCTCCATTAAATCGGCCCCTGAAAAAAAAGGCCAGATTTCCACAAGTTCCAAGAAAATGTTTGTCAAGGTCGTTTGCTTCAAAAATGTGTCTTCGGCCAGGTTTTTAGATGGCTTTGTTAGTTTATTTCGGACTTTTGTCTGCCTCTATATTTTTGCGTTGAATTGATTTTTGAGTTGATGAAATGTTATTCGAAAAATTGCATTACGTTTCCGTGACAAAAGTGATAGGGTTTCGACGAAACGAAATTTGATAAGGATGGATTCATGCGTTTCTTTTTAAAAATTCACTAAAGAAAAACATAAAACAGACAATTTGTTTAGCTGAAAACAAAACAAAATGGAACGAAAACTGAAGACAAAAAAATACATAAAAAGGAAACAAGACTGCTCGTATCAGGGCAATGTCCCGAATGCTCTGACTGCCTTTAAAGGCATATGGAGCAGTAATAACATAAAAAAATTAAACGTCATAAAATGAAACGATTTTTTTGAAAGATTGAGGTTTTGTTTTTGTGAAAATCATCCCCCACACTTACCATATAAAACACAAAGTGTTAGATTCCGCTTCTATAAACAAATTAATTATGGCGAATAAGCTTCCTTCAACCAATTTGGAACTTTTTCTAAGTTAGACGGAATCTCCGCTAATGCGTTAATAGCGCAAAATATATCGCGCGTTTCCCAATTGGGCCAAAATAGAGATCTTTAAACCCCACTAACTTTATAAAAAAAATTATCACAGGTGAAATATATATATTTTTCAAATTTAAGCTCAGAACCACAATACCTTTGGAATGATATAAAAAATTACGTCAAAATGGCTAGTAAAAAGTTTAAGTTTGTCTGAAGAAAAAAACTACCCGAACACAAATATTCCGTTACTTTCGTTACGAAAGTCGGAACATTAACAGATAAATATTCAAAAATCCAAAAATTATAGACCGTGATTTCAAACAAAGATTACCGCAAGTTTTAATGGCTTAAATGAACTATCTGCGGCACAGGCATTTTTTTTCTCACTGGTTAATATGCCTAGATTTTTCGGGTTTGTTTTTTTTAACCTGTTTTCAGGTATTTTATTCAGATTTTTACTCGTTGATAAAACGTTTGTCTGCGTATCTTTAACTTTAAGCGAATGTTTCATTGATGCTATCTAATCACAGTGTTGTGATAAAATGATGCCAAAAATTACACAACTTCGAAATGAAATAGAGAAAATTACTGGGTTTCGTTTCATCGCTTAACGTTTTAAAAGCTATTAAAACTAAGGCACCAAAGCAAAGCCCTAATTTTTATGGCCGTGTTTTAGATGTGTCGATTTTTAAAAAAGAAACCTATCAGCAAGAAATGGAAAATCTAAGATAGTTTACAATTTTGTTCCTAATTGCCGTTTTTTGGGAAATAATTGTTTTCTGTTGCGCTCGCACGCAAAGTTAACTGAAAGTGAGATAATTTTTTTTAGCCAAAATAGTGTTTGGAAGATTGATTGGCTTCGATTTAGTCTTGATCGATTTTATTTGTTGCGCTCGCTACGTGTGTTACTAGAAAACTTATCTAAGTTGTGCGATATCTGAATAAAATTATGTAATCTATTTTTTCTTCAAAAAATGCGATATAGTTAACCCCAATAAGCCAAATTGGCAATTCACAACTTTCACAGTTTTTCTTTTAAAATCATATTTCGTTTCGGGTGTCCGTTTTGGGCGTCCATAGTTTCAGATGGATGGTGCAAAATTTTTTGAAAAATTATTTGAAAAAATTGAGAGAGTAGTCTGAATCAAAGTTGATCGCTTTTTTACGTTTTAATAACTAACTCACTTAAAATGCCAAATAATTCTGTAATTTTCTCACAAGCAACTTCGATTCTTTTTTTTACTACCATCGTCGATTCTTTTTTATTCATGATTTTTTATTCTACATTGAAAAATGGAAGTCATTAGGTACGCAAATATAATTTTTGGGTCTTTGAATTGGATTTTTTATACTTTGAGCAAATACGTTGAAACGAAAGTCCTCCTAACAAGTTTCAGCTGATTAGCAAAATTGTTTCTGAAATTAGATTTTGTTTCGTTAGTTTTTATTCCGCCTCTTAAAGGAAAACACGGTATTTTGTGCTTCGCTTGTTTTTTTTGTCCAGTCAAATTTCGACGTTTTAGCACATTTTTCGACGGACTTTCTCATGGTATCCAAAAAAATTGATGACCAAACTAAAATTAAAAAAATCACCTGTGATTATTCCTTGGAAAGTTAGAGAGCTAGAAGTTG